ATACCACATTTTTTCTTTCAAAAATTCCCATCTTGTTTCTATTATATTCTTGGTCATTGGTAACTTTGCTTTATAGGAAGACATCTGAGCCTACATAACTCGAATCTGCTTTATAGATGGCTATGGTATTAGAACAGTACACATGAGACATGAGTGTAACTATTCTTACACCACACTAGCAGAGTAGCAGTTACCTCTATGGTGGCTTAATCGAACATTAGAAGAGAAGCTTCTTTCTATTAGAATTATAATTCAACTATATTTTGTGAATGAGCAATAGTGAGTCAGCTTTGGGAGCGCCTATATTAATCCCGAATATTGTGGAATTCTCAGTTTATGAACAAGAAGCTACAAAAACTAATAAAAACGAGTTTGAGACGAGGGATTCAGCAATTGTACAATGTAAACTGAAGATTTATTCTGTTTTTGTAGTTTTCTTTTCTTGCTCTTTGTGACGTTCTATGTGGGATAACCAGGCAGTAATAGAGAGTGGTAATAAATTAAATACTGTTGAAAGGTACATAGGAGAATTGAAAAACGAACTTTGTCCACTACTGCAAAGCTGCATTTTTCTATTGAAAAATCACTCTTGGTTAATGGGTGGTTAAAACTTAAAACAAGCGAAGAATCTCAATTATCAAGTGACTGAATTTTTTAACAGGACTACCTCCAATATTGAGCGGTAGCAGGGTTAGAATAAAGCGTACTTGTTATTACTGCTTAATATGGATGTTTCATGAACAAGTTTAACTTATGTGCATTGACTTTGTATACATTTTTTTACAGTACCATATTAAATTGACCTGCAGCGACAAGTAACTATTCATAAAAATAGTGCATTTACAGTATAAATAGTGTGATTTACTTATAAGCCTTGGTGTATGGAATTATGACACATTGTACTTGAGTTTTTCTATATTTTACGCATAAGTTTGTTTATTCAAATTTAAAAGTTATTATATTTCAATTACATTTTAGTCGAGGGCTAAACTTTAAACAACGGTCCAAAAAGCGAATAGGCCACCCAAAATTTACAATAAGGGTATATCAGGAAAGCCATGTGTAATTATCAGGCTGTATAATTATATCAGGCTGTATAATTACTAGGGTAGTAATTACACACCCTGGTAATTACATAGTATTGTAATTAAACTGACCTGTTTATTTACCATAATATAATTCTCACTGTCATGTTTGATTGGACAAGTGTAATTCCATAGTTAAATAAGTATTTTTTTCAGATGAACCTATTGAAATATTATATAATTATAAACGATAAATAATATTTTTTCAAATAAATAATATTATTACTTGAATAGATTAATCAAAATTGCGATGACAATTTTAATTTTTTACTAACTTATTAATGTGTTATAAATACGTGTACGTATAAAAAATGTTAAATATTATTTATAATCAAGATATTAAAACTATATTTAAAAAAATAAAAAAATAAAAAATTATAAATTGGTAACTAATATCAGGAAAAAGAAATTGGCATCTTGACTACCTTTCAAATAAATAATATCTTAATTGAAAATAACTGATAAATGTTTCAATTATGAATTTAATTTTTTTACCAACTCATATGAGTAAAATATGAAATTTAAGATTTGCTGCACTTTTTAAATAATACCTTAAAATATGAGTTTGAGATATTTTTTAGTAATATTTATTTTATACTAATGAATAAAAATCAAAGCTAGTAAAATATGAAATTGTGTTTAACAACTAAGAAAAATAATAATAAATAGAAAAAGAAGAAGCAAAATGTGAGAAGTTATAAAGTTATATGGAAGCGCACTATAGGCATCATGTTGAAAGGTTAAAAAAGAGGAAAAGACCAAAACAATACATTATTTTTGACTTTATAATGAAAGTCATACATATTATTTCACATTGAGCATTAATAGTATGTTTACTTTAACAAATTAGTGCACTTTTAGTCATAACACTGAAAAAAGCCCAAAAACATAAATTATCTTTAGCTTTAGATTCAAAGTCATACATATTCTTCCACATGGAGCACTAATAGTCCGTTTACTTTAACAAAGTGGTGCACTTTTAGTCATAACACTAAACACATTTTAATTTTTAACAGAAATTTAAGATTTGACAAAATATCTGTTCCCTTTATTTTCTTGTTTACCGAAAGAAATAAAGATGACAGATTTATCTAGATAACAAATTACAAATATACATAGAATTTATTTACTATTTAACTATTTACTATACTTAAAATATATATTTTATTAAGAAATGTTAAACACCGTTAATTTTTATTTGCAATGATTCCTAATCTAGATAACCTCAAATGTTATCTAGATTTTTTATTATATACATAATATTTACTATACGTTGGCATAAAATAAATATACGTAAAATCATTGCTGAGAGTAAAATAAATTTTATTACTAAAATAAATATACGTAAAATCATTGCTGAGAGTAAAATAAATTTTATTACTAAAATAAATATACGTAATATATATTTATTATATTTTTTTATTTTATGTGAGTCAGCGTATAGTAAACATAATATTTATTTTTATTTTATGTATATATAATAAAAAAATCTAGATAACATTTGAGGTTATCTAGATAAAAATCATTGGAAATAAAAATTAACGGTGTTTAATATTTCTTAGTAAAATGTACATTTTACGTATAGTAAATAGATAAATAGTTAATAAAATTTATGTATATTTACTATTTGCTATCTAGATAAATCTGTCATCTTTATTTCTTTCGGTAAACAAAAAAATAAAGTGAACATATATTTTGTCAGATATTAGATTTCTGTTAAAAAATAAAATGTGTTTAGTGTTATGACTAAAAGTGTACTACTTTGTTAAAGTAAATGGACTATTAGTGCTCCATGTAGAAGAATATGTATGACTTTGAGTCTAAGCCAAAGATAATGTATGTTTTTTGGTTTTTTTTCGGTGTTATGACTAAAAGTGCACCACTTTGTTAAAGTAAATGTATTATTAGTGATCCACGTGAAAGAATATGTATGACTTTTATTCTACGGCCAAAGATGATGTATTGTTTTGGTCTTTTCCTCGTTAAAAAATGAGAATATTAAAAATAGAAAATACATATTGTAAAGAGAATAATAACTAATATAATGGAAAAAGAAAAAAATGGAAAAGTTATACTACATTATAATTAAAGAGAATAATTATTTTCAAATTCAATTACTATGTGACTTTCGAAACAGGATATAAAGAGTGTTTGGCTAGAAATGAAGTCAAAAAGCAAATTGGACTTTAGTAACTAATTTCTCCTTGAGCCCACTAGCAAGGATTTTTGGTCAAGGCCTTGTCTTGTTGTTAAATGGGCTCCAGATATTTTGTCTCGTGTATATCATCTCGAAAGAAATAATATATTATATTTAGAGTTATATGAAAATTAATCCAAATCAACCATAAATGTCAAAAATCTGGTATTTTTTGACTATGTTATATTTAATTAAGAAGTTGCACCCAAAAGTTGCTCTTTCATAATGGATAATTATATGTTTAAGAAAGTCTTTGCATCTTCGTCAACTACTTTGCTAGATGACAAAAAAGTACTCAATTACGAAAATATAATTATGGCTACTTTTCAATCAAATTACAAAACACTAAGTCAATCTATATTTTTGTAACTGGGAATCAAAAGATACTCTGTCAAAGTAGATATAGTAACATCTTTACAAAAGAATGAAAAAGGTTTTTTTGGGATAGTAACTATCCAAAAAAGGAAGAAGGTTTATATGCATACAAGTTCAAAATGAGGTATTTTTCGACTTTTAACATCAAAAGTGGAAAAGGTACTTAAAATTGTACAAAGATACAGTATATGATAGAATCAAGGTCAAACCTATATTAACTAACCGGAGCTAGGTGCCACTAGCTTACAATATGTCTTTATACAAATTTTTATACAATATCATACCACTTAAATATAATTTTTATACAATATGTCTTTTGTATATTTTGTATATGATTTATACATAGTAAAAATAAAATTTATATAACTAATTATATATTATACAACTTATGTACAACTTATCTACAACTTTCATACATTATTTTTACCCAGTTATATACAACTACAATATAATACAACTTAAATACAATTTTTATACAATATGTCTTTTGTATATTTTTTATCTGATTTATACATAGTAAAAATAAATTTTATACAACTAATTATATATTATACAACTTATCTACAACTTATGTACAACTTATCTACAACTTTCAGACATTATTTCTACCCAGTTATATACAACTACAATATCATACAACTTAAATACAATTTTTATGCAATATTGTTAAACTTTCATATAATATTTAAATAAAAATATATATATAAACAACATAATATAATTTTTCTACAATTTTACTACACGTCTACTACAATTTCGTAAGTATAACGTATGTCATGTCTTCTTTTTCTTTTTCTTCTTCGAGTTTCAATCTGACATTGAGCCAAAGTCAAGTCTAATCTTCACCAAAACAATTGGTGAAACCCAGTTCCATCAAGGCAACAACCCAAAAGTTTAAACACGGGTCCCTTTTTGCAGAACTAAATTAAAATAATTGGTAAGTTTGTATATAAGAGGGAGAGAGAATAAAGATGAGAAATAATTGATTCACAATATAAAGAGATACTCATTTAATTTCTAAAGTGTATATAATTGGTAAATTTGTATATAGTATGTAATTAAATTAAAACTTAAGTAGGAAGAGTAATAAAATTTCAAATAGTGTATAGGAATGTAAAAATTTCAAAAGTAAATACTCAATTCAACAGACTCTTTGTGTAAAGATCACATTTAAGAAATAGTCCAAGTTGGGCCTTCAACTGTGCTTCTTCATCTGTACAAAGTCTAGTCCATATACATTTTCTTGTTTAGTCCTTTAGCCCAAACTCCATAGCCTCTCCCCCCCCCCCCCCCCCCCCGGGTCAAGAAAACAGTTCTTCATATAACGCCGATAAAAAGACAAATCCAAATTCACTTTTTCTCAATACAATTTAACCGATTTTATTTTATACATTCATAAACATATATGTAGTACTCGCATCAGCAGCAGTTTATAATACTTTTTTCTCTATTTAATCACAGACAAGAAAAAAGAAAGAAGAAAAAAACCTAGGGTTAGGGTTTGGTTGTAATCCCCTTTCATGGCGGAAGATGAAGAATCAATTTCCAATGTGAATAACCCAATCATGACCGACGAGCTAAAACCCGAACCTGTTATTGAATCGAGTGCCACGTCACCGACACCGGTAGTTGAGAGTAATACGATTTTGCCGGTTCCGGAGTCGGAGGTGGGCCCACCGGTGGTAGAATCAGAGGTTGCCGGAGACAGTTGTCAGCACAGTGGCGGTGGTGATGCTAACGTTGGAGTAGCTGAAAATGGGGAGAATGATGAAGCAATGGTAGAAGGAGAAGTAGTGGCTGAGGCGAGCCCGCCTATGAAAGAACCAATGGTTACAGGGACGGAAAATGAGGAGAACAAAGTAGTGGGAGAGGAAAATGTAACGGCGTTGGTGAAAGATGAGGTGGCAGAGGCAGTGAATGTGACGAAGGAGGAAGCTAGCAGTTGTTTGCCAGCTGGTACTGTTGATGAGACAGTGGTTATGACGAGAAATGAAAATGAGAATGAGAATGATGAAACAATGGGGGAGGCAAATATTTCAATTGTTGAAGACAGAAAAAAGTTGGAGGACGCGGAGAATGGTGAAACAAAAATTGTGACTAGAAATGATAATATGGAGAATGGTGCAACAAAAAATGTGACTAGAAATGATAATATGGAGAATGGTGAAATAGTGACAGAGGCAAATGTTTTAACTGTTGAAGCTAGTAGTAGTCTAGGGTTAGGGAAAGATGGAGAAATGGAGGCAATAAAGAGCGAGGAAGTGGAAATTCCTCCTATTGTGTTAGATGATTTAGGGGGGGTCACTCTAGAAAAAGAAGATGAAACAATGGATGCTGATGATGAGAAAACTGCTAATGAGGAGAAAGTGGTTGTGACTCAAAATGAGGAAAATGATAAAATGGCATCAGGGATAGATATTTCAGCTGCTGAAGCTGGAATAGAGTTGGAGAAAGATGTGGAAATGGGTACAACGAAGCATGACGAAGGGACTGGTGCTGAGGGCGAGGCTGCTACTGGGGAGAAAGTGGTTGTGACTCGAAAAGAAGGAAATAATGAAATGGTTACACAGGTAGATACTTCAGCTGTTGAAGCTAGGATAGAGTCGGAGAAAGATGTGGAAATGGATACAATGAAGCATGAAGAAGGGGAACCTGTTCCTCTAGAGGAGGATGAAGGGACGGGTGCTGCTAATGGGGAGAAAGTTGTGACTCGAAACAAGGGAGATGATGAAATGGCATCAGGGGTAGATATTACAGCTGTTGAAGCTAGAATAGAGTCAGAGAAAGATGTGGAAACGCATGAAATGAAGCATGAAGAAGTGGAACATGTTTCTCTAGACGAAGAGGAGGATGAAGAGACGGGTGCTGAGGACGAGGCTGCTAATGCAACTACTACTGAAATAGAGACTGAAACTGACATGACAGAGTCAGGGAAAGCTTTTGGAGGAAAGAGGAAGAGAAAAATTACTAAGAGTACTGGGAAGTCCAAGTCTGGAGGAAGAACTTCAAGTAAGAAAGCTATTGGAGAGGATGTTTGCTTCATTTGCTTTGATGGAGGGGCTTTGGTGCTATGTGACCGTAGGTAAAGTTTGTTTGTTTTAGAAACATATGTATGTTAAAAATATGATTTTGCTTTGTTCACAATTCATGGAATTTGCTCACGTGGTGCCTCTTTGGTGCTCTTTACTTTCTAGGGGTTGTACCAAAGCATATCATCCTTCATGTATTGATAGGGACGAGGAATTTTTCCGTGCCAAGGGTCGCTGGAATTGTGGTGAGTGCTCTATTTTGCCTCTTTGCTAAACTCATCTGACTTTATTGAGTAACATGTACCACAAAGTTCTCTGGTATTAGTTTTGTAAAGATAGAAATACACATTGATATGTCTTTCACACTTCGATTTATTTCCAAAGTCTTCTCTAGAAGGTGAACGTCTAAGCCAACACGACTCAATATTTGGAAATTACAAATAAATGCTTTGTGGGACAATTTTTCCGCCTATAACTCAAACTTCATTCATTAATAACATACCAAGATGGTGTGAAAACTATATACAAGTTGTGAAAGTGATTTTTTTTCTTTCCTTGTGGAGTTGTGAAAGTGATTTAACCACAAGTATCTGTCAAGCTATCCCAGTCATTTATACATTTAGGAATCTTCTGCGCACCTAGAAATATGTGAAAACAAATACAGAAGATTGGGAATGACAAAGAAAGAGAGGTGGTATTTGGTGTCAAACTAACAATAGAATAGAAGGGAATGAACAAAGAGAAAGGTGGATTTTTTTCTTTGACATAGGATTGTGCAGTTGCAGCTGAATCCTGTATATGATATAGAGGAAGTGTGGATAACTGATACATTTAGGATGCATTAATCAAATATATTTCCATTTTTATACGAGGTGATTGTAAATATCTTAAGATGGAATGGAGCTGTCCTGAAGTTAATTAAACTAGAGTGGGGCCAGTGTCAATTTTTGAGCATAGATTGGGTTCTATTTTTCTTCCGCTGGGTAGTGAACAATAATTGTTACACTGAGTCTAGTAGAGAGATGATGACTTTTGGGAACATGAAAAGTTGTTAGAGTTGTATTGTTCACTTCTGCCATCTGGTTCATAGCTTCTGCGTTTCTTTCAGTTGACGGTAACTTCTATTGGCTTGTGCTTTTTATAGTACTGTATGAAAAAATTCATTAGCACACTATTAGATTGAGAAGTTCGATTAGAAAAAAAGTTCAATCTTTGAGAACTAAAATATTACCTTTACTACTTTATTTGTACTATTCAGGATGTGGAAGAATAAACTGCTATCTTCTATCATAGTATATTAGAACTTTCAAACATGTTTCTTCTTCTACTTGCACTTTCTTATTTATACTATTCAGGATGTGAAAGAATAAACTGCTATCTTCTATCATAGTTTATTAGAACTTTGAAACATGCTTCTTTGTCTACTTGCCTTTTGCTTTTACATTGCAGCTCTTTTTGTACTTTTTTCAGGTTGGCATCAGTGTACTATTTGTCAGAAGAATGCTTACTATATGTGCTACACATGTACATTTTCATTATGCAAGGGGTGCATCAAAGACGATGTCATCCTATGTGTAAGAGGAAACAAGGGTTTTTGCAAGATCTGCATGAGAACTGTCAAGCTAATAGAAGGCCTTGGTAAAGAAGACAATGATGTATGTACTTCTACTATACCTTGCTATCCTCTTGATCTGTTGATTGGATTTAAGCTATTCTCAACCAAGGTCGTTGCACACCCTATGGATGTGCATCTTTTTGACGTCGTTTAACGTTCAATTTAAATATAAGTTGCTGTAATTGGAAAAAGTGCATAAAGAAACATAATGATTGGCGACATTGGTTAAAAAGTAAGGAAGTTGGGCATGGGAAAAGTTAGCCCTATCATATCTAATTATCCAAGCCATTTAAGAGCATAGAAACTTTGGTTATAAACTTTTATGCTATATCAAAATAGTAACGAGAGAGCAAGTTAATACTCTTAAGTGGGGTTGGGTTTATGAGTGATTTAGTAGGCATATAGTGATATAGATATTGAGACCAATTTTGGGTTGTTTGATTAAATTAAATATCTTAAATATCATCTAATATATATATAAATAGAATAACCTCTCTATAACAACATATCTATATAACACTCATTCACTATAAAAGCCAAGTTTTTCTCGGAATTGATTTTTATGTTATGTTATAATATATGTCCTCTATAACAACACTTCACTGAGCCGAGGGTCTATTGGAAACAACCTCTCTAGCCTCACAAGGTAGGGGTAAGGTACACATTACCCTCCCCAGACCTCACGGTGTGGGGTAATACTGGGTATGTTATTATTGTTGTTGTTATAACAACACTTCACTATAACAACCAAAAAATATCGGAACAAACGAGGCCCTTATAGAGAGGTTTGACTAGTATCTAAGTTCTCTTTTATATGGTTGCTAGCAACATGGACAATTCTGTGTTTCTAGTTTCTGTTTTTCTAGTGGTAATTGATTGATGATTCTAATTTCTTCTTCTTTAAAATGGTAGGGTTTTTTATCTAAACCTGTAGCACATTTCTGATCTTGTTACTCTTTGCTGGCCCAGGGTCCGGTAGATTTTGATGACAAGAGTAGCTTTGAGTATCTGTTCAAGGACTACTTAATGGATTTAAAAACGAAGCTATCTTTATCTTCAGATGAAATAGCTGATGCCAAAAGTCCTTGGAAAGGGGCTAATGTGTCAGCTTCTAAACAAGAACTGGCTGAGGCACAATTTGACAATAATGATGATGCAGGTTCTGGTTCAGATGCTTCCACTGAGACATTGGAAGCCAGTAAAACTAAAAAAAGAAAGCTAAGAAAGCGTTCAAAACCGGTCAGAAATGAAGAGGATGCAACAACTACGGCTGTTACTATTAGCGAAGGCTTCTCCACAGCTGGCACCACTGAGTGGGCATCAAAAGAGCTGCTTGAATTTGTTAAGCACATGAAAAGTGGTGACACTTCTGTTCTTTCTCAATTTGATGTGCAAGCTCTGTTGCTCGAATATATCAAAACAAACAAACTGCGTGATCCTCGTCGTAAAAGTCAAATTATATGTGATTCAAGACTTGAAAGATTATTTGGTAAACCACGAGTTGGGCACTTTGAGATGTTAAAACTACTTGAGTCTCATTTTCTTATGAAAGAGGATTCTCAGACTGATGATGTTCAAGGTAGTGTAGTTGATACAGAATTTAATCAATTTGAAGCTGATGCAAATGCTGAAACTCCTACAAGGGCAGTCAAAGACAAGAAACGTAAACGTAAGAAAGGTGAAAACAGGGGACCTCAGTCAAATCTTGATGAGTATGCGGCTATTGATGTGCATAACATCAGCTTAATTTACCTACGACGGAAGTTGGTGGAGGACCTTTTTGAAGAGGATGACAAATTTCGTGATAAAATTATTGGAACCTTTGTGAGAATACGAATTTCTGGTAACGTTCAGAAGCAGGACCTTTATAGGCTGGTGCAAGTTGTAGGTAATTACATGTAGCTTTCAGGACATTGCTTGCTTTTACCTCTTTTTTTCTTTCCTTATTTTTTCTTTTTGCTTTTATGTTATCATTACATGCAAATTATTTGAAGCTCAACTTCTCTTTCTGAACAATGTGGTTGTGGCTGCAGGTACAAGCAAAGCTGCCGAACCATACAAACTTGGCAAGAGGACAACTGATATTGTGCTGGAGATCTTAAATCTGAACAAGACAGAGATTTTATCAATAGATACAATCTCAAATCAAGATTTCACAGAGGTGATTGAATATGCGCTTCATGTGCTACATCATGAAAATATAGTTTGAAACACCTAGTTTGGCATTATGAAATTGGTGAAGATGAGAAAAGCTGTGGGAAAGAAAAATATATCAAAATAATTGAAATCCTGATAAATAATTCAAAAGAACAAAGAAAGAAATTTGTCACGAAATTGTTTTTTCTTGTTTCCATATCACAAGGTTTTTATTACAAATAGACTAATTAAAAACACATTTTTTGGTAAATTTTGGGCTTACTGCAAAAAAATTCCTAAAGTTGGCTTAGTTTGCAACTTGCCACACCTGAATTGTGAGAGGTTTTTGTTTTCCCCTTAATTACAATTTCTAGCGTCTATTTTCGCCCTAACGTGCTAGGTTGCTGGAAGAGTGGTTTCAGTTCTCTGTTGGTGCATGAGCACAGAGTGTAAATAAGCCTCCACATGGCTATTTGTTCCATCAACTAATTGTCACATGATCATGTACCATTACTAGTTGTTTTGACTGTATTTTTCTTTTTATATGTTCTTTTTTCCTCTTCAGTTGTTTCTTCTTTTTGTTTAGAACATTGGATTGAACCCAAAAATAAGAGTTGCAGCCAAACTTGTTACCAATCTAGACGAGAAATGGAGTTCCAAAAATGCGCAACTGTAAAAGAAAGAATAGTTTTATTTAAAATAAATGCAGCTTGTTTAAAATTTGTAGCTGTAGTTATGCCAGAAAATAAATAGAGTTCCAGCCAAACAGATTCTCAAAAAATGAGCAAGTTTAAACTGAAAAAATAGTATGTTGGGAAATAATGAGTTCCAGTCATGCTTGTTACATGGATTGCGAAAAATGCGCGAGCTTAAACAGAATTAAGTTAATTTGAAGTAAAACGCGATGTGCTTAAAATTTAGAACTGTTACTACTCCTAAAGAATGGATTATCGGCCAACCTTTTTATAGTTTGGCTGGAAAAGAAGTGCTCCCAAAAATGTGAGTTTAAAAAAATTAGAACTTTGTTCAATGTAAGAAATTCTACATGTGTGGAGAACATTCCCCCAAATTTTTGTCCAGAGTAGTAATAGACATCAAAAATTGTAATTCAAGGGTAACAGAAGCCCGGGATAGTCTAAGTGCTCAAGTTGCAAACGAGCAAAGTCTAGAAGAATTTTTTGTGTATTAAGCCTAAATTTTATCTAAGATAGAAGTGAAAGCAATGGAATCAAGGTCACAGAAGTTCTTATCACAATATAGTGAAGCTTTTTAAAAGCAATGCTTGGAAGGTCACCATTGATGTTCGACTGCTGTTTGCGTTGTTGACTGACGACTGAAGAGAGAGGGGGTTATTGGAGTACTAGAGGGTTTGAGGTTCACCCTTGATTAAGTTTACCTCGACCATATCTCCTTTCTCCTCGTGCTTTTGTATGGACAATGCTGTACTTGGAATCAACCACTGTTTTCCCTGCCTTTTTCTAGTTTTCCTATATAATCTAAACACTTAAAAGACCTTTTGTTGGGAGCAATTACTTCTCCATTCCTCAGTAGAACCCTGGAAACCGGACGCTGCATAAAGGAAAACGCTGAAGACGAGGGTAGGGGTTTTGCAGGCAGAAAGGAAAACGTGGAAACAAGAGGGAAGGGGTTATATTCAACCAGAGTTTGCCTCCTACATTGGTGTTTGGGTTGCTTTGGAGTACAAGCACGATTAAATACTCCATGTTTGATTAGTTATCCAACAAAAGTCTCGGTTNTCACCTGTCACCCCTTAGAAAAGAAGCAATGATCTTAAAGCTGGTTGTCTTCTGTTCATACATATTAGCACCTTCTTGATGCATTTAATGAAATCGTACTTATCGGAAGAAAAGTATTGTCTTCTGTCCAAGCTGTTCATATGTATCTCTTATGACTTGTTAGGAAGAATGCAAGCGTCTGCGCCAGAGTATGAGATGTGGACTCATTGATAGACCAAAAGTGGTATGCTGCAGCTTGATATCGATAAATACTTCTGGTTTGCACTTATTCTTGTTATGCTGATTAAATTGGTTTATTCACAGCGTGACATTCTTGACAAGGCCATGGAAATACATGCAGCAAGAGTTAATGATGTAAGTTAAACCGAAAAGTTTCTTTTGAATAGTTCTATCAATGTGCATAGGATTGTCATTTAGAGATCTGCCAGTGATTAGTAAGGTTGAAAGAAAGTAATTCAGCAGTTGGAGTGAAATTCCTTTTTGGCAGATTATTTCTTCTATTACATTCTTAAAACTTGGAATGAAGTGGATCTCTGTCTCTTTCTATGTGGCTGTCTCCTCTGTCTCTGGGTGCATGTGCAATCTTCATGATTTAGCTTGTGGAAATTCTATGTATAAGCTATGTGCCCCTTTTTGGACTAGCTATTCAGACATGACGATGACTGTTTATTTGACCTGCAGTGCCTGGTCCTTTAGATGCATTTTTATCTACACAAATAGCTATTGGTGTAGTATTCTTTATTTTTTGTATACCTCTTGTATACTGGAATTTATGCCCCTATCTATCAATAACATCTTTACCTTATTAAAGAAAAGTAGTTTTGGCAGTCAGCACTTTGCAGATTAAGCATTGCAGATGCTACTATTGTGCTAGGACATTTAGGAGAGAAAATAGAAAAGGCATATTGAAAGCGATATTGTAAGTGGAAGAGGGAAATTTGTAGGTTTTAGATCTTTGTACTTACCCTTTAGCATTTTGAGGATTGGAGAAGTCTCGTCAACACATATACCGGCCATGGTTATTGACCTCTATAAGAATTCAGAGATGCACTCATTTGTTGGCTACCATAAACCTTATGGAGTTCAGTTACCCAGTCTCAACCTATATAAGCGTTAATGGTTAGGCGTCAAAATATCTTTTTATGAACTTTTTAAAAGTTGACTATTTTTTGAGGGTCTTTAGCATAAAATGTTCTATTCCTCTTGGTGTGAAAAGAATTGTGTCAGGTTATGCTCTGTACTGATTTTGTTCTTTGTTTTGCACTTCTGATGGATTCTTTCTGCTTCTAGCCATCCTCTATTGGGTTCCTAAGTTGTTCTAATATATCTTGCCTGGTTCTTTTTGCTGATGTTCAGTGGCTGGAGTCAGAGATACTCCGTCTCAGTCATCTTCGTGATCGAGCAAGTGAGAAAGGACGCAAGAAGGAATATCCTTTGTTCGCCAAAAATTTGTCATTTCTATTCGCTTCCCTTTCCCTCCTGCCATTATCAAACTGCAATGCAATATTTTGCTTGAAAGATAAAAGTATTCATTGGTTTTCATTTTTTTCTCTGTAGCAGGACTGTTAGGGCCAAAAATTGTGTGCAGTGCTGGGCCTGATAATAAATTTTCCTTTATATCAGAGGATGAATAAAGTTTGCTTATCAAAATTATTGCTTTTTTTAGCATATGCTTGGTTTGCATTAGGATTCAATCTCTAGGTTATGAATGTTCTGTGCTCTTGCAGTAATTCATGTGTTTCCTTTTTAAAAAAAAAAACTTCCTTTTAATTGTTATTTTATGTTGTTTACAGCTTGTTTGGTTGGTTGTTACCTATTGTATCGTATTATATTGTTATCCCAAAACAATGTTTGTTTTGATTGTTTATTTAAAATTGATTGTATCGTATTGTTAAATCCATTATTTCGGAACAACCAAAAGCCCCATTTTATGAAACAACCGATTTGGTGTGGTGGGATCGTTTCCTATTTTCTTTTCTAATTATGCCCTTACTTATTACTCCATAATTCTAATTCATCATTTAATTTTTATTTTATTTTAACTCCAAATCTCTGACCTATTCACCTACTTTGTCTTCTTCCATCTTTTCTAGAGTTGGTTTGCCCCGTTCTTTTTATTATCCAAGTCTCCATTCGATTCTTTGTCTCTTTTCATCGTTTTGATATTTTTTTGGTGTTGCTAATATTAATTAACCTTTTTTTCCCCAGGTTTTTGCTCTTGTTTCCAAGCTACGTAATTAATGATAAATTAGTAGAAAGAGGTTTTCTTAAATTATTTTTGTGTGTAATTCTTGATAGATTTTATTTAAAACAATTGCGGGTTTTGTAGTGAACTTATCAGTTACACTACTGAACGATATAGTCAAACCAAATAACAAAAATATTATTTAACAACCGCAAACGATACAATCTATTCAAACGTTGTATCCATAAAACAATACAATACAATACAGTACAATACAATACATTATAAAACGATGGGTAACAATGATCCAAACATAGTGTTAATAAACTTTATGTTGTTTAATAAACTTATCCTCACTTTGGCGTTGTTTGAATTTTGGACCTTGAATATTGTTTTGTCCAGATCAAATATAGAGAGATCCACCAATACAACAGAAGATGGCACCTTTAGAAGCAATTCTCCCATCCCCCTTCTATTAGTCTTTGCTTCTTGTCGCTTGGGCTGAATCAGTCACTCTTATATACTCCTTAACTAATGATTACACTTAGAGAATGTGTAGAGAAACTACAGCTCTTGAAGACTCCCGATGAGCGTCAGCGTAGACTTGAGGAAGTTCCAGAAATACATGCGGATCCAAAAATGGACCCAAGCTACGAGTCCGAGGATGAGGATAGTGAAAGTAATGATAGACGAGGTTCTGTTAGTTCCTTTTTCTTCTTCATCTGTTATAGTTAATACACCTTGCTGTGTATAATTTGGAAGTTGCTGCTTCTGCATGCAGATGTTTACATGAGGTCTAGAGATTCAAGTTTTAGCCGGAGAGGACGTGCGCCAGTTTCTCCAAGAAGCAACTTTTCTCCAAAAGAATCCTGGGGGGCTGTAGGAAAAGTTTCTTCAAAGAACTTGGAATTAAACAGGAGTTCCTCTGGTAAAAACGTTTTGAGCAGAAGTGAAGATGGTGCGCATTCTGGAGGGGGACTGAATGAAGATACATGGAATGAAGGAAGGGATAGGGAGACAGAATCTAAGAATCTGGAGAAGCCGTCGTCTGCTGCTAATTCCGACCCAACTGGACGGAATAGCCAATTTTTGTCAAGAACGGAATCATTTTCTGGTGTGTCATCGGTAGGCTCTCCAGCTATACTCCAGAGTAAGGTTGCAGAAACTTCCATCAAGATCAACGAAGCTGAAAAAATGTGGCATTACAAGGATCCTTCTGGTAAAATACAGGGACCATTTTCTATGGTCCAGTTGCGTAAATGGAGCAATACAGGATACTTCCCTGCTGAATTGAAAATATGGAAAACTACCGATAAACAAGAGGAATCTATTCTTTTGACTGATACATTGGCAGGGAGGTTTGAGAAAGTGCCATCAGCAGTTGACAATATACTTTCAACAACTGTTCTGCAAAAACAAGATGGAGAGAGACCTCAAGTCGACCAGAATATTGGATCTCAGAATTCTCGTCGTTTGGTTCCCTCTGGAGGTGGAATGACTTCTTCTGGTGAAGTTTCTGCTCTTTCTACGGAGAATTGGAGTAACAGTGATTCTATGAATCTCCCTTCTCCCACTCCAAAGCAAAATAATGCCGGTTGGGTTGGAGGAGATGGATCTGCTGTTACAGCTGCAAATTTGTATCCTAGTGGTAACAGAGTTCTCCAATCTCCTCCCGCTCCACCAGATGGTGGGATTCATATGTCTACTTCTGTTCAAAATTCTGGTGTGCATTCAGTTAGGGGATTGGATAGTAATAATGTGAATTCTGGTAGTGATTTTGGTCTAGCGCCCACTTCTGAGCAGGTAACTGCTGCACAGTCTGGATATTCTTTGCAAAATGTTCAGTCATTTGCTTCTAGTAGCGAACAACATACTGCAGTGATGAATAGCCAATTTGGTGCATGGGATGCAGCAGCTCTCCAAGCAGAATCTCTTGATATGCAGAACCCTAATGTGGATGTCAATACTTGGGTTGCAGCTGCACCTTCCAAGGGAGAGCCAAATGTTTCTGTTCTGGCACCAGGGCAGCCACAGGGATATGGTAACTGGGGTACTACGTCGTCATCTGTTCAGAATGTTGCTGGAAATTATTCAAATGCAGGTGCCTCAGTTTTGCCTCAACCTGATTATTGGAGAGCTCCAGCTCAAGGCAGCCAACAGAACATACAGCCTACAACTATGCTTAATGTTCCATGGGGTGGTTTGCAAGAGAATATGAGTTCTGCTTCAGCGTTAAGGCCTGAAAATAACAATGGCTGGGGTATGATGCCAGGAACTCCAAATGTGGGCTGGGGTGGACCTGTACCAGCAATCATGAATGTGAACTGGGGAGCGACTGTTCAAGCAATGCCTCAAGGGAACCCAAATCCTGGGTGGGTTCCCACTGGGCCACTTCCTGGGAATCCGAACCCCGGATGGGTTGCACAATCAGGGAATCCTGGTGTTCAGGGCGTGGCGCCTGGAAATGCCAATCCAGGTTGGGTCGCTCCAACAGTGAGCTCAGGATCAACTATTCAAGCACCTACATCTGGTAATGGGTGGGCTGCTATAGGAACTGGAAATCCTGGAGCACATATCCAAGGACCATCTCAAGGAGATTCAAATCAAGGTAGGGGTGCACCTAGTGGAAGTCGGGGGACAAGAAATAATGATCACCATGAAGATGGGAGATTCTCGGGTCAGAGGGACAAAGGATCTCATGGTAGTAATTCTGGTTACAATAGTAGGAACTGGGATAGGCAACCCTCTTCTGGAAGTAGAGGGCCTGGAGGTTCATCTAGAGGTGGCTTCAACAGGAATAAGCCCTGCCCATATTATCCGAGTGGTCGATGTATAAAGGGTCCTAGATGCAATTTTCTTCATAACTAAACAGGAGGAACAAGTAGTAATAGTAGGAGAAAGGTGATTTTGTACAGTGATTTCGTCTCTGTTTTCTTTAGTATATAGGCAATTTTGGTGTTCTATATTTGTAAAACTTGTGCAGATTAGTAGGTCAGCTCTCATCTGATCTGATACAAGCTTTTCCAGTAGCTAGAGTCAACCTGCTTCCATATCAGTTTTTTTTTTAATTTTTTGTTATCAGCTTCTAATAAAGCCACAGGTGAGCTTTATGCCATATATTCTCCTAGTTTCCTTGTGTCCCTGTTGTACTATGTTTTGTACTTGGAAAGTTTCGGTTAACACACAAAATCCATACAAGTTAAACCATGAAGTTTAAGCTAGCACAAAAAGGCAATAGTAGACTTATCTGTTTGAAAACTTATTTGACCATTTTATCATCAACTTGTACTGCAGATTATAAAAATGTAAGAAACGCCTGGCTTATCCAAGGATATGAAAGAGGATAGACTTCTCTGTTTCGACTTTAGTTGATTAGATTTCTATCTTGACAATTCTCTCCAAGAGTAGAAAAAACCTCTATTTTCATTTGAGGACAAAGAACCAAAATGTCGTTTAAAACACCCTTCTTTTTTAACCAACCAAAATGTCGTTTAAAACACCCTTCTTTTTTACAGATTCCTTTTCAACAAATTGCAATCCTTCTGAATATTTGTTCTTCTGTTACCAAAATTTCCAACTTTGTCCTATAAAATCTGTCTTGATTCTTCTTCTAGCTGCATATGGCTAAAGTATTAATCTTCCCAAGATGCACATCATTTCTACATCCTTCAACATCAACTGCTGCAAATCTCTAAACCATTTGAGACTAAAACCACTCTCCAAAATCCTTTCTTTTTATTCTTCTTCTATACTCCCCTGCTCTAAATTACCCCACTACAAAACCAAACTTGAAATATCCCAATGCAAATGGAGGACAAATCATATTTTTGTCCAAACCAATGCACTACTGTCTCTTTTAGAAATCAAATGCAAATACATGACTCAACTCAAACAAATTCAGTCTCAGATGATTATCACTGGCCTATTCTCAGATGGGTTTGCTTCAAGTCGTTTAATAGCCTTTTGTGCCCTCTCAGAAAAGGGTAATCTTAATTATTGTAAAAAGATTTTGTATAATATGGAAAACCCAAATACATTTTCTTGGAATATGGCTATAAGGGGCTGTGGTGAAAGTGAAAACCCCAAAGATGCGATATTTTTGTACAAACAAATGCTTAACATGGAAAACACAAATACATTTTCTTGGAATATGGATATAAGGGGTTGTAGTGTAAGTGAAAACCCCAAAGATTCCATTTTTTTGAACAAACAGATGCTTATAACTAAAGGGAGTGAATGTATTTGTTTGAAGCCTGATAATCATACTTTTCCTTTGTTGCTTAAGATATGCTCTAGATTGGATTTGTATTATATGGGTCAAGAGATTCTTGTGCATATTTTGAGGTTTGGTCATGATCAAGATGTGTTTGTGCACAATGCAATGATTCATTTTTTGGTTTCTTGTGGGAAGTTGGAGGATGCAAATAAGCTGTTTGATGAAAGTTCTATGAGGGACCTAGTTTCTTGGAATTCACTGATTAATGGTTATGTTAGGACTGGGAGACCGAGGGAGGCGTTGATGGTATTTGAGAAGATGAAAATGGCATCTGTGGAGCCCGATGAAGTTACTATTATTGGGATAGTAGGGGCGTGTGGTCAGCTTAAGAATTTGGAGCTAGGGAGGAGGTTACATAGCTATGTTATGGATACAGGCTTGAATATTCACGTACCACTTTGCAATGCACTCATAGACATGTATGTGAAGAATGAGAGTGTACACGAAGCAAAGGCTTTGTTTGATAGGATGGAGGAGAGGACTATGGTAAGTTGGACTACAATGATTAGTGGGTTTGCTAAATTAGGCCTTTTGGATGCAGCGAGGAGGCTTTTTAATGAGATGCCAGAGAAAGCTATTGTACAGTGGAATGCCTTGATCGGAGGTTATGTCCAAGCTAAGTGTGGTAAAGAGGCACTGGCTTTGTTTCACGAAATGCAAACCATGAATGTAAAACCTGATGAAGTGACTATGGTTAGTTGCCTATCAGCTTGTGCGCAGCTTGGCGCACTTGATATTGGGTTTTGGATTCACCACTACATCAAAAAACATAAGCTTTGTCTAACTGTTTCACTGGGAACCGCGCTTGTTGATATGTATGCCAAATGTGGTAATGTGGAAAAGGCACTTCAAATTTTTCATGAGATGCCCGTGAAAAACTCATTGACTTGGACAGCTGCAATTGGTGCCTTAGCATTTCATGGAAATGGACGTGATGCTTTGTCATATTTTTCGAAGATGGTTGACGGTGGCCTGATACCAGATGATGTCACATTTCTCGGGGTCTTATCAGCTTGTTGTCATGGAGGTTTGGTTGAAGAAGGGCAAAAGCTTTTTGCTGAAATGAGTGCAAATTTCAAAATTCCTCCTAAATCTAAACATTACTGTTGTATGGTGGACCTTTTGGGCAGGGCAGGGCTTTTGCATGAAGTTTATGAGTTTGTCCAGAGAATGCCAATGGCGGCTGATGCTTCAATATGGGGAGCACTGTTTTTTGCTTGTCGAGTTCATGGGAACGTCGAGATGGGGGAAAAGGCAGCTCTGAAACTTCTTGAGTTTGATCCTGGTGATAGTGGAACTTATGTCTTACTTGCTAATATGTATGTTGAAGCAAATATGCGGTTTAAGGCACGAGATGTTAGGAAGATGATGGATGAAAGAGGATTAGAAAAAACACCTGGTTGCAGCTCCATTGAAGTAAATGGAAAACTTTTTGAGTTTATTGTTAGAGACAAGACACATCCACGGTCCGATCAGATTTATGAAAGTTTGATTCACTTAACGAGACATATGGAAATAGTTAATTGTTTTCCATTTACCGGATATGACCTCCTACTCGATACTGATGTTCACTGCTCAATATAAGAATTCTGTCGCCAAACCTACTTAAGCTACATAAAAGCTTGGCCCCACAGACATGTTCCAATGGTTAGGAGGGGACAGGAGTTGACCTGCAATCGTCAGGCCATGAGCCTGACTACTTGATCATCTTCTTCTCCTGCGGAGGTATTGTGACTTGCATTTGAACACTCCTGCATTACTCCATGGCTCATTTTAAGATCATATTATCTGAATATTAGGTGGTATCTTGCTAGATGTGAATTCTGTTTCTTTCTAAATTAGTTCCTGTTATGTTGACCAACTCTTAGGTCATATTTTAACGGTTTAGTTATGCAACTCAACTCATTGTTTCAAGCGTAGTGGTCATCCTGATCTTTTAAGCTGAAGATGTAATCAAAATCCTACTCTTTGTTCTTGCTAAGTCAGTGAAAAAAGTTTACTCCTATTGTATCACATCTTGTAGCTTAATTGTAGATTTGGAGAGACAAAGTTATCAAAAGTTAGCTTTAAAAGGAGCTCGATTGTTTCTTTCTTAATTCTTAAACTCTTTCTCATAGTTGCCATTATGGGTGTCGTCGTCCTAGATTAGGGAAAATATATAAATGGGTCTCAAAGATTGTAGCAGCTAATGCTTGCCATTCTTAAGGGTTCGTCTGGTACAATATATCCCACCATTGTACCAAACGACCCCTTAAGAATGGGGTGGGATATACCATGGGATTAGCTATCCCACCTTCTATATGGAATAACTAATCCCACCATTTTAATGTAAAATTTATCCCCATATTAGCTAATACCTCTGACCAAACATGGGATAAATACAATTTCAAATTCTATCTCGGGATTATTATCATTATCCCATGTACCAAACGACCCCTAAGAGTTGTAAGGAAATATAGTGTCACAAGATTGTTTCGTCCAGAAGTATAATATATGATCAATCCATTCGCCATATGAAGGTTTAATAAATCTCATAGCCTTTTGTTTCTATCCAAGACATGGCCCAAGTATTGTGTCACCATTTTTCCCTCCCTTTTATTTTCCCTCTTCAACAACAACAACACAACAACCCGGTGAAATCCCACAAGTGGGGTATGGGGAGGGTAGTGTGTACGCAGACCTTACCCCTACCTCGAGGGAGTAGAGAGACTGTTTCCGATAGACCATCAACTTTTCTTTTCCGTCTTCATTGGAACCAAATGCTGACATCCCACAAGAATAGTTGTACTGTGAAATATACTTATTGTTTGAATTTCTTTCAAACAGGAGCACAGTTAGCTGGTCAGGTAGAAGGATGACGAGATGACGGATGAGCTAAAAGGTTTTATCTGTGACATTTTCTCAGCATATATTGGCAGCAGCCAAATACAAACCCAGTTCAAGGAAGGAGTTCTTCTACTCCTGGATTTCCAGAAGTGGATGATAATCCAATACCAGAACCTGAATTTACCATGGCTCTGTTCACAATGGGATGAGAAAGGCTGGTGGACGAGAGGGGTCCAGGAGCTATCCAAATGTTTTTCAACACTCCATCCGCTTAGTATATTTAGACTCTGTTACAAGGCTAATTGGCAGAATTGAGCAACTGGGGAGCCTAAACGTCATTGAGGATGAGTTCATCGGTCAACAAACGAATTCTATCTACAAATGCTAATAATATGGATCGGTCAACTTGTCATGATTGATTGTCTCATACACTTAGATCAGACAAGCTTGGAGAGGTGATCTAAATCGCTATCAGAGAGAACTGAACTTAGCGTGCAAAGATGGTACGATCTACAGATGATTCGGATGTGATGTGCTGCTTTTCTAGATCATGAATTTCCTTGTATTACTAGTCATTGATGGGTTCTTCATACTAGTCTTGAACCCCTGACCTAGTGGAAAACTTTAAAGCCAATAAGCATTTACTCAACTCCCAAACTCAAGGAAGACTAGTCCTTGTATTATTATAACTAATCATTAAGTTTGAGAAACCTTAGAACTTAAAATGAAAAATATTTTGGAACAAGATGAACGACGAGAAAGAACAATTAGTAGACTTCAGGTAAAATTTGGGTGTAAATATATAGTCACCCGCATACTTCCTACTGACATTGTGAGGCTACATCATTAATTCATTAGTTTTTATGTCCGATCCTCCTTCTTTCGGACTTGGGACCGACAATGTGAACAAGCTCACAGGCGAGTTTAGTCATGGTAATACATTTACTTTAGATCCTATGCATCATTAGAGATTCTTATGCCAGTAGGAAATATAGCAAGCTTTTGATACTTTAAAATTTTATTTACTATAATGTTGATCTAAGATGAATTTAAATGAGGACTATATTGTGAGGTTTTATTCGCAGAGACTAATTGGCAGAATTTACCTTGTTGATTTAGATAAGCAAACGGAATAAGATTTTTTTTTTCCCGGTTTAATTCCAAAGCTCGCTAGTCTGACTAATTCTATTTTGCCAAGTGAGTCCACAAAAGAGGTAAATCACTCCCTATAAAAAAGTTCTCCATTCTCCATTTCGAAGGCTTGAACCCGAGAACCCTAATTAAGTTTAGAGGAAGTTCAACTATCCCACTAGTACACCACATCCCTCTGTGGTAAATAAGCAGATTCAGTTTGGACAACCAGTAATGCAGCTCTGGAGAGCGAAAATTACCTATTTTGGATGGTTGTTATATATTATTTCATAATGTAACGTATCATATCGTATTGTACTGTATCGTTTGATAAATACAATATTTGCATAGATTGTATTGATTGTCGTCGTTTCATGAACACACCAACAATATAAAGAATAAACTATGATACAAGGTAGAATTATTATATAAAAAAGGTAGGGTAAATGATAAAATAAAATTTAGTAATAATAATAAAGGGCGAGATGAGAGAAAAAGACATGGTAACGACGCGACCACACCAAATCGGTCGTTACATAAAGTAGCACATTTCGTCGTTACGTAAAGACGGCGTACGATACAATAAAATATAAGTAACAATCAAAACAAACATCGTATTTAAAGTAACAACACGATACAATACAATACGTAACAACAAGCTGCAAGTATAAATGAAGTGAATTTCGGATATTGCCGTGTTTCCTCGCCTGTTAATTTATCAAAATCAAATATTTACTAATACCCGACCGTTGTCTCTTTACTTTCTCCCCAATTCCTTTCATACCAATCACAGATGTTTTTTGTCGAATGCTTCTGTACATCTACACAAGCCCTTGTAAAGCTCAACAGAGTTTACCCAATATGAAATGCAATTCAACTGCAAAATCTCATTTTCATAACAGATCTCACAAGAATCTATTTGAGGCAGAAAAACAAAAACAAAAGGTTCATTCCTCTTCGTATTTCTCCCAGGCAATAGAATCGGGACAGTGAAAGTAAAAGTAGACATTCTTTCTGTGACAAAGTTCTGAGATCATGGCTAATGTTCAAAACAGAACATGTGGTACTAAGCTCCAACATCTAACGAAACTGTCAAACGTGGTGTTTCTTTCTGTTCTTATTTACCACTAGACTATATTTCTCTAATGTAACACAGAAGCAACAGGAAAAATAAGATCTATAAGGAGAACGTGAACGAAAAGAAAAAAAGGAAAATGCTGTGACCAAGAAGAAAAATATGAAGCCAGTTCCCTATGGTGCTTGTTATTTGCTTCACCGCTTCGATGTATCAATCGCCACTTCCGAGTAGCAAATTGGGCAAGCCTAACACATTAATGAATGGCTTAGCAATGGAATACATGTTAAATGATGCATATAAGGAAATTGTTTTTAAAGGGTTCAATTGATTACTTTGTTGATACTTAGCCATCTGCTGCCACAACCAGCATGATAGAGATGTTTGCAGGGAAGAGTGATCTGTCGGTCATTTCGTTTGTACTCCATCTGGCAGATGACACACCTGGAAATAAGAAGGAAAATCTGTTGTGATCAGTGAAAACCTTTGATACAATACCTTGCCCACAATACTAGGCAAAGATAATCACGATAGACAATAATAATAATTTCAGGATAGAATTAATAGATAATAAAGATGACATTTTCCATTCAGTTATCTCAGAATTCAATTACATATGGGGAAAAAACAAACCAAACAAACAAATAAAGACACACACCGTCACATACATATATTAAACTCCACAATATGCAGAATATAACATCTCTCAAAGGAAGTCTGGAAAAGAATATGCGCAAGCGAAACATAAAAGGACATGATACCAACCAAGGGACAAGGTAATATAGAATACTGTGGTAAAATATCTATATTTAAACTTAAAAAAGATAAAGAGTAGAAATCCATGCGCTATTCAGATGAAGAAGATTGTTGATGAGAAACATAAAAGACAACTAGTCACATATAGAAAGACAACCCACCAGCCTATTATACTTTGAAGAAACATAAAAATCGGCACAGAACAAGAAGCATACAAATAAAATTTTATTATGTCAGAGCTTAGGATTATTAGACATTGTTCATTTTTCCATTAGTTGCCCTTATTTATAGGAAGAGATTCTCGATGGGTTTGTTCTACCTTTCCTTTCTTGATTTCTTTCTTGAGAATACGCCACACTTAAACTTTGTGATTGGAAGAAAGGAGATCTGATCTTGGGAAAGACCTCTGCTTTGAGCTCCAACAGCCTCCCCCAATTCGAGTAATTCCTGTAATTCAATCCACATAGAATTAACACTACATGTTTTACCAGGTCTCCAACATAAATCTTCAAATACTCCACAGTAAAGAAAAACTAAAACATTACTTACGGATCATCACTTGAACAAAAGGAAACAATCATTAAAAGAAAAAATCATTTATTCTCTTCGATGAATAGCTGCAGAGAATAATGTGAACACTGGACAGTATGTAATGCAGGTCCATCAGTTACACTACCCATCAGCTATAAATTTTCTAATATGATATCTAAATCAATTTGCTTAAATAGTATCATCATCAAGACTATTGTATACGAAAAAATGGTTCAATGATGAGAACGATCAGATAGGAAAACTTCCACAGGGAGCCGTGAGCATCAAAACACTCTTTAGCAAAGAAGAATAAACTCAATAATCTCCTGATTTTCCATAATCCTGCTCTTCTTTTTTTCTCTTTTTACACGTAGTTCATGCAAAGGATTTTTCAGAAGTTGCAGATCAACTGATGATCTGATGCAGTTAGAAATCTTATCATACACTAGCTCGGGTATTAGTAGGTCAGATATTTATCCCTTTAAGTTCCACAACATTAGTAGGTCTAAGCTTATTCACTCAATTCATGTCTTGAGGGCAGCTCTCAAAACTACACTTTGCTGGTCATCGGCTGCATGGAGCAATTCTTTGTTCAGAGGACCTTAAAAGAATTATAAAGATGATCAATTCAACCTCGAGAAAGCAGTGTTGACATTTTCAATATTGAATCACGAAAAATTGTATCAAATATCAGTTTCATCTGTCATGCGACACTAAGCCACCATTCTCGTCAATGATGCACATCACATGTCTACAACAACAACAACTAACTCTCGATCCCAAGCTAGCTGGGGTCAACTAGATGAATCCTTAATATCCATTTTGCTCCATCTAGACTCGTAGGTGATAGAGATCCCAGATAAAATATACCGTATCTTACAGGGCTCCTCATGGCAATAAACATTACACATTAACCTGCATAACTTTGACAACTAATTCTCTCCCTCTAATAACCAAAGCATTACTAAAAGAACTGCGAAATGAGATTCTCGATGTCTCTCAAATGGATCACAAGATAATGATACTATTTGATGGTGCACAAGATAATGATAATATAAGTCTAATAAGTGAAGATGACAGAAATTTTACAAATCAAACCTCATAGGTCATGTTGTCAGGGTCGATATTATCTTGCCAAACAACCTGCATTAATTTACAAAATAGATGAATGAAACTAGTCAGTAATTTTAATCAGGACAACGGCCCATGCTTACTTAGCAGCCAGAAGCACTTCCTGAAAACATCAGCAGGAATAGAAAATGCAAGACTCCTCTTGTTACTATTACACTTTTTCCTATTCGTCGAAAGAGTAGTTTAAAACTATTTAAAACATCTAGCTGTTATATCATTTGTCTGCTTTGAAATCATTACTATAGTTACAACCACAACACAGAGAGCAGTTTTGTTGTAGTATGCAGATACTATGAATAAGAAAGTCGAGGTGGTGGTTATACATCAGCTGGACTAATGACCAAGGCATGAAAGAGAAAAGAAACATAACTTTGAAATAAAGCTTCATACCTCACTGTCACGAGTATTAATTTGACCCCTAGGACCTGAAAAAGAGCAAAGGGACATGCTTAGTGATAACCTAATGTATCATAAGAGTAGGAAGCTCTTTATGAATAGCACAAGCAACAGCAGCAGAAATGACAACAAATGAGACTGCAAATGCTCAAAGGCATAAGGTCCAACACTGACATATTCCATACAATTTTTGCTGCGTTCAGATCGACCTATTTACTTTTTAAACTCAATTCCATCACAAATTTCAGATGTATAATCGATATAGATTGCAACACAGAATGCATAATAGAGGAATGTACTAAAACATGCTTCTAGACAGCTGCCTTACAGAAGGAAACTATCATTATTAAGTAAAACTATGTTTATTTGGGTAGTCTGATTTGCAGCTAAACAGTTATAAGCATTACATTGCTTCCTTCTTAAAAAAGCACTAGGCAATTATTTTCTCACTTCATCTTATATGCTCCTTAGGTTACTTTTGCCACACACACAACTTTCAGAAATTGATATATGGAAAACAGAAAGAAACTTGTAAGTTGTAACCAGTTATCATAAAGAAGAAAATGTCACTGAGCTTTTCTGAATAACATTTATCATTGAAGCAGCAAAGCAGAAGGTTTTAGAGACTACAGAAACAGAGGGAAGCGGATCTAGAGAGTGTAATAAAGCAACCTTAGCACCATCACTTTGACTTAGGAATGTATAATGTACTAGTATTTTGTTTATTTCATAAACGGACTCATTTTATCACTCACCACAGACTTATTAACATGTATTTACAGGCAGATCTTCAATTTGATAAATGATCTGTCCCATCTAGAATGTTGGCAGTGTGACCAGCCATTTCTATCGTCTATACAAAATTGGTACTAAAAGAGATGGTCTTCAGAAATGCTGTAGCAGATGTCTCTTTTACTGAAACAGCAGAAAAACATCTCAATGCCTTCAGAGGATCAACTTGAGTCAACTACTGCAGACTACAGGCTACCACCAATCTCATATGTGAGCATGAATCAATGAAAGGAGTTATCAGACTAGAGGAATTTGTTTATGGTGTTGGATGGCCTTCTTCTAACCCATCCAAGTCAAATTTGGTTGGTTGACTAATAAACTTTGAGTGGGCATTGCGGAAGACTCGTTCAAACATGAGGCTTATAGCTCAATAGCTTTCAAGACAGCAAGATAACCATTGGAAGGTGAGTGCTGTCATTTCACCTTTTAAACCAGATATAACTATGAGATGCAAAAGAACAGTAGATCCCTGTCCTTGATGCTCAGAGCTATAGGAGTAAAGGAGAAGGTGTAAAGACATAGAATTATGGTTTTAAAGGGTTGATCCTAGTATACAAATGGCTTTGAGATTCTGTAATCTTTTGTTTATTAAATAATAAAAACTAATAATAAATAAAACAAGAAAACACGGGGAGATGTCTTTACAATAGGAATGAACTGCAAGGGTGCTAACTAATGCAGATATTCATGGGTGTTTTTTCATCAATTAGCAATCAAAAAAAATTATTCATGGTAATTCCCGGTGCATTTTCCTAACAATACTTAGTCATATACAGAATGCAATTAGAATAAAGAGAGAAACTGTGGAAGATGTTTCCGTACACATAGGCTTTCAACATTCTATTTTTTTGAGAATGGTGACATATTATATATTTGTAGCACAACGGCTGTGCTAAAACATTCTCTACTTTTGTTGGGTTTTTTCAAAAACTTGTACATATCAACTGCAGTAGAAAGACAGTGAAAAGGGTACTTACATTCCACAGAATTAGTGCGTAAATTGGAGCCTGAAATTTCTTCTCTATGCACATTTGCAGCTACATTCTGGTCACCGGTGGCGGTTGAAGGGTTCTCTAAATGTCTATCATGCTCCTCGATTCCAGATACATGATCATTAACCACATATTCATGACCATATTCGTAATATGAGAAACTACCTGCTTCGGAGTACCCAAATTTGTAGGGATTGGTACTGATGGATGGGTATAAACTCTCCTGCAAGGATCAGAGAAGTCATATAGCACTGTCATTTAAAATCTTGCTCTACATTTCCATGTGACTGACAATTTGATATAGACGAATCCAAAGATACATGAAGAGAATGTATATGTTGCAGTTAAATGATATCCAAAGGTACCTCTAAGGTCCTCATATGCTTAGCAATTAGTAGCAGAGTTCCTTAGTTTGCTTGAGCAATTCGAAAGCTAGTGTCCATTAAATGCAGCATAGTTGCTAATTATGCAGTTGATACATGTAGTACCTGTGTACTAAGGCATGGTTCTGAATCTGCTCTTTGCACACTACTAGACAAATTTATGTACATAATACAACACCACATACTTGATAAACAAATTTCAACTTTCTCACGGTATTTCTTTTTTCATATTCATGAGCACTTTTTGAAATATCTGGTTATCCAATCATGATTTACAAAATGTCCAGGGTCGTGCAGTTAATTCTACTAATTTAAAACTGATCATTGTTCCAGTTGTACCCTCATTTGTACAGGTTATTTTGCACAATCCTGCATAACAAGGGTCAAGGGCAGAAGTTGGAAATGCAGGATCAGAATGAAAGTAGGTGAATGCACAACAAGGATGTAGACCGAAAAGACGATCAATTTCTGTAAAACAACTGAATGTACCTGACCATATGGAGGATCGGCAAATATATAATTTACATGGTCATATGTAGCACCTCCAAAGAAATCCATAAAGCTTCCAATTGAATTATAAGGCATAGCAGCGTTCGTGTAATGAATTTCCATTTGCTGATTCCAGTTCATGGTGGATTACTAGTCTGCAACAAATTGGTATATTCTTCGTATCAACTCTTTAAGGTAAAGTAGCTATGAAGACTACAAGACTCCATAAATCATATTTACCACTAATTCTTCAGGAAAGCAGAGAGATGAAAAATCAATATATGAAACTCAGATTTCAAGATAAGCGATGTGGATCCTCTTCAGATTTGACAATCCTATTAAAACAAAAGAATCAGTTTCTTTTAACATCATCTGTAAACCAAACCGAAAAAAGATTAGAAGACAAAATGCATAAACTATATCGCTGTAGATACAAGAAATGTAAAAGATTAACGAGAGAGAAAAACGAAGAAGCAAACAATTAATATCAAGAAATTATAATTAACTTTTTAAAGCAGAAAATTACAACTAATGGAAACAGTTATTCCGATCCTTACTTCTCTTCAAAAACAGTATAAATATTTTCCAGCACTCTCTCAGTAACCAAAATGTATTGCAACAGTTCAACACCAATTCATTTGAAACTAACAACATAATGGCACATTATACTTGAGAAATTCAGAGCTAAGAGCAGACTGCTCAACATCAAGAAACTTCAAATAAATCACGCAGTCATAATGTAATGCTGCAAAAAACACAAATAATGCACAGTGAAATTTTCCGTTTTTATTTTTTTTGTTGGAACAATTTCCAGCATTTTCTCAGTAGCCAAACATATCACAACAACAATTCAACTGAAATTACCACCATATTGGCAAATTATATTTGAAAATATTTGGAGCAAAACCAAATTTCAGCTAAATCAAAATTCTTTAAATTTTGCAAAAGAACACATAGAACGCACACAAAAATTTAATCTTTTTTCTTTCCTCTTTTTTGGGGGGGAAGAATTAACAGCATTTTCTCAGCAACCAAACGGATGGCAACAACAATTCGGATGCAACTAACACCACGTTTGGCACATTTGCTTGAGAAGCTCCTGATAACAACCAAAATTGCTCCATAACATATTACTATTAATTGCATGATTTTGCTATATATAAAAAACACACTTGGCACATTTCAGTTGAGAAATGCGGACAGATCACAAAAAAAAAAAAAAATCAAACGAAATTAACACCACATTTGCACATTTCAGTTGAAAATTTTCGGAGCTCAAAAAATAAAAAACGCAAATGCACAAAAAAAAAAAGAAGAAAAGTTTGACGATTTCCGGTGGAAAGAGTTTCAGCATTTCTCAACAACCTAACAGATTGCAACAAAATTTGAAGGGAATTAACACCGCATTCAGCACATTTAACTTGAAAAAAATCGGAGAAAAAAACAAACTGCTCCATAACCTATCATTAAATCCTTGATTTTGGTAAAAAAAATACAGAATGCACATAAAAAGGGCACATTTTCTCAGCAACAAAACAGATCACAAGAAACAATTCGAATGAATTTTACACCGCATTTTGTACATTTTTAGAAGAAAATTAGGAGCTCACCATACAGAAGCGACTAGCGAGTAATAATAGCTAAAACTGAATCAAATTGGTATATTCTTCATATCAACTCTTTAGGGTAAAGTAGCTATGAAGACTACAAGACTCCATAAATCATTTTTACCACTAATTCTTCAGGAAAGCAGAGATGAATAATCAACATATGAAACTCAGATTCCAAGATAAGCGATGTGTGTCCTCTTCAGATTTGACAATCCTGTTAAAACAAAACAATCAGTTTCTTTTAACATGATCTTGTAAACCAAACCAAAAAAAGATTAGAAGACAAAATACATATACTATATCGCTGTAGGTGCAAGAAATGTACAAATATCGAAAATTATAATTAAATTCTTAAAGCAGAAAATTACAACTAATGGAAACAGTTATTCTGATCCTTACTTCTCTTCAAAAACTGTACAAATATTTTCCAGCACTCTCTCAGTAACCAAAATATATTGCAACACGTCAACAATAATTCATTTAAAATTAACAACATAATGTCACATTATACTTGAGAAATTCAGCGCTAAGAGCAAACTGCTCAATATCAAGAAACTTCAAATAAATCAAGCAGTCATAACGTAATGCTTCAAAAAACACAAATAATGCACAGCAAGATTTTCCTCTTTTATTTTTTTCGTTGGAACAATTTCCAGCCTTTTCTCAGTAGCCAAACAGATCGCAGCAATTTACCACCATATTGGCACATTATACTTGAAAAAATTCGGAGCAAAACAAATTTCAACTAAATCAAAATTCTTTAAATTTTGCACAAAAAAAAAAAATAGATTGCACACGAAAATTTAATTTTTTTTTTTCTTTTTCCCTTTTTTAGGGAAGAATTTACAGCATTTTCTCAGCAACCAAACGGATGGCAACAACAATTCGGACGCAACTAACACCACGTTTGGCACATTTGCTTGAGAAACTCCTGATAACAACCAAAATTGCTCCATAACATATTACTATTAATTGCTTGATTTTGCTATATATAAAAGCCACATTTGGCACATTTCAGTTGAGAAATTCGGACAGATCACAAAAAAAAAAAAAAAAAAAAAAAAAAAAAAAAAACGAAATTAACACCGCATTTGCACATTTCAGTTGAAAATTTTCGGAGCTCGAAAAATAAAAAAACGCAAATGCACAAAAAAAATTTTAAAAAAGTTTGACGATTTCCGGTGGAGAGTGTTTCCAGCATTTTCTCAACAACTTAACAGATTGCAACAACAATTCGAACGAAATTAACACCGCATTCAGCACATTTAACTTGAAAAAAATCGGAGAAAAAAACAAACAGCTCCATAACCTATCATTAATTCCTATATATTGCTAAAAAACACAGAATGCGCATAAAAAAGGCACATTTTCTCAGCAACAAAACAGATCACAAGAAACAATTCGAACGAATTTTACACCGCATTTTGTACATTTTAGGAGAAAATTCGGAGCTCACCGTACAGAAGCGACTAGCGAGTAATAATAGCTAAAACTGAATCAAATCAAATGGAATGGAATTAAAATGAAAGGAAGATAAAGAGTTGAAGAAAGGAACAATATATTGTGAGAATTAATAA